GCAGGAAAGTTACCTACGTTTTTGCGAATATCTCATGCGAACATCTATGGTGCATCAGGCCAGTCTAGTGCTGCCCACAACCTCACGCCGTAACCCACTGATGAAAGACCCTTTATAGAAAATCTAAGGTTGTAGCCCTTCAAGAAGAACCATTAAGGAATATGGCGGAAGTAATTTTTAGCTCGAGAATGAACACTTGCTTTTTTTGAAGAAAATATTATTATCTCTAAATATCTGACAAATTTAGAAGATAGTAGTGGCTATATCTGAACTTGAGAGCTTCCAAAATACTTCAAACAACATAGTGAAAAAGAATATTTCAGAAAAAATAGTCATATGTCTTATTTGCGCTTGAGCTTGGTTGATATTTGTAGCAAGTGGTACGAAATCAATTGAACCATAGCTTAAACGCTCACAAGGTCAAAGTTTGGGTATGGAAGAAAAAAAAGGTTTTGTTCAACATAGCGTACGACCAACAAAGTGCATTTTTGGTACATCTCACATAGTATTTTGAGAAAAGTAGCATCTGCAGCCAGCAACTTTAATATTGAGGGGGCAGAGCTGGTAGAAAGGTATATTATGGGAAAAAAGATAAACAGGAAAAAAGGATCTTCAGACATCTATATAAAGGACAGTTGAGTTGATGGGTAAAGTAAACCTAGATGGGTAGACGACTTCAAAAGCGCCAATGGAGGTAATTTTTCTGAGTCCGTCCATCTTCCTCTCTTCCACTCTTGCCTCCTATGACTAATGTTTCACTCTTTTTCTATAGCTATTGAACTAAAGAGTACATTCCTAGGCAAAAATCACGTTTCTTTGGAATGTTTGGCTACCATATGACGACAGTATCGGATCGTGCTGTTATACTTACCACTAACGAACGTGATGCTCTTGCTATGTATGAAGCAACCGATGGAGCTCTTGCTTACGCTCTTCCGCATGGAGAACGCATCGATCCAAGCGTACGTCTACCCATTTTGGACCTGGAAAATTAACTAAATCCTCGTTATTCAGGTGTTTCCTTATCTTGAAGACTTCGAGCAGATATTTCTTTGGTTTCCTCCACGTCATCTGGACTATGCCAAAGAATGGGGTTATGCACTAAATGGCGCTAGATGCTACCTTATAAGGTTTTTAAAAGTTTTTTAAAGCATTTTCTATTTTAAATGCTCAGTCAACTGTAGAAACGCTGAAAGACCGATTGAGTTGGTGCGCAATGGAAAGTTCAAGGAGGTCAAGCATATTCTAGGCAGGGAATCGGTTAGTAGAGCCTTTCCTTTGAAAATACACTAACCAGACAATTTAACTGCAGGTACGTCTACGAGAAAAAGGATTTCGATCCATGACTGATATCCGTGAAGAACTGAAAGCAGATTTAATAAATTCCAGCACTCGCCAGCTCGGCCTTGCACAGGTAAATGATAGAGAAGTTATACCATTAGACTATACAATTTCTTTAAATCCGAAACCGTAGATTTACCAGAAATGAAACTAAAAAAAGTTTCTAAAAGTTCAACTTCTTTGCGTGCGCCTAACTCACTGTGCACTTTGAAGCAGTTTGAATCACTACAAAAAACATTATTTCCTTCTTTTCTTTTTCATCCTTTAAATATGTGAGTCATACTTCAATTGATCCCTTAATGCACAAACTCACAGAAGCGGAAAAGACTAGCTCACAGCTCAGCAGAAGTTAAGAACGCAGAAGCCTTAGTACCAAATTGTTTTTGTTATATATTAATAGTGATTAGTGAAAAATTAAGCAGAAATACCAGGTGGGTTAAGAGATAATTTTGGTCGATTCTGAAAAAAACTTAAATTTTTCCTTTTAGATGCTTTGTGATTGAGAAGAAAAAATAATTTAATGTTTGTGTGTATTAGAGAGAGCATTTCATGGAAAATTCTACCATAAATTTCCTGAAAACGCCGATTTTGGTAAACAAGTAGTCTAAACAAGTAGTTAAGGAAGAAGATTATTTAATTTGAGTCAGACTGCAAGAAATCAATGTTAAAAAAACAGGTTGAGCTGAATAAATCTTATGCTGCCGTTTACGATTAGAAATTTCGTACTCTAAATTGTGCTAAACGCTTTCTGAGAAAATTTTCAAATTAAATTAGTAAGAAAATGATTTATGCGCCGAAATTCGCCAATATAGAAGGACTGCAGAATGTTCGCGAGTTGTCCAATAATCAATGCTTGACCATCTATTGGCCTTTGCCTTGGTCATAACACTTTGATCCACTGAGAGAAATTTTGAAAGTAAAAATTGTAAATTTTGCAAACCAACAACACTTAACCGTTCATATTTTGTCTTTGACATAAAAATCCGATCTCCAATTATAAGTAAGCACAACAAGTATCAGCAATTGGAAACTTTCCCTGAGAGTTATATTTGCGAATAGCAGTTGTTCTATATCGAATTTTATTAACTAATCTTGGAAAG